GATGCAGTGACTCACGCCTGTAATCATAGCACTTTTGGAGGCCAAGGAAGGTGGATCACTTGAGGTCAGAAGTTCGAGACCAGCCTGGTCAACATGGTGAAACCCCATCTCATACAAAAATTAGCTGGGCATGGTGGTGCATATTTATAATCCCAGCTACTCAGGAGGCTGAGGCAGGAGAATCGCTTGAACCTGGGAGGCAGAGGTTGCAGTAAGCTGAGATAACACCATAGCAACTCCCAGCCTTGGTTGCACGAGTAAGACTCTGTCAAAAAAAAAAAAGAAAAAGGCACTGACTATATCAATTAAAGTGAAAGCAACTTCGCAGAATGGTAGAAAAAATTTGCAATCACCATATCTGATATGTCAGAATTTATAAAAGAATTCCACAACTCAACAACAACAACAGACAGCTCCAATTTGCAAATGAGCAAAGGGGGTCCTGGCATGGTGGGTGCACAGTCTGAGTCCCAGCGTGAGATGGGAGGATTGCTTGAAGCCCAGGAGTTCAAGGCTGCAGTACACTCATGATGTAGTGACAAGCTCTCCATCCTGGCAACATAAGGAAGCGGTACTGGTCATATTTAAAAAAAAAAAAAAAAAGAGAGGAGGAGGAAGAAGAAGGAAGAAGAGAAGAAGAGAAGGAATAGAAGAAGAAGAAGAAGAAGAAGAAGAAGAAGAATGAAGAAAAAGAGGAGAAGGAGAAGGAGAAGGAGAAGGAGAAGGAGAAGAAGAAGGAGCAGCAGCAGCAGCAGCAGCAGCAAACAGGCAAAGAATTTGAATAGACATTTATCCAAGAAGATATACAGACACCAACAAACACAAGAGGTTCAACATCACTAATCATTAGGGAAATGCAAATCAAAACCACAATGAGATGCCACTTCACACCCATTAGGATGACTATTATAAAAAATTAACAAACAAACAACAAAACAGAAAATAAGTGTTAAGGATGTGGAGAAATTTGAACCCTTTGCTCTGCTGGTGGGAATATAAAATGGTGCAGCCACTGTGGAAAATAATATGGCAGTTCCTCAAAAAATTACACAGAGAATTACATACGATCCTGCAATTCCATATATACCTCAAAGAATTGGAAGTAGAGACTCAGTTACTTCTACACCCATGTTCATAGCAGCCTATTCTCAATAGTCAAAAGATGGAAGCAACCCAAGTTACCATCAATGTATGAATGATAAACAAAATGTGATATATACATATGACAGAATATTATTCAGCCTTTAAAAACAGGAAATTCTACAACATGGATGAAACTGGAGGACATAATGCTAAGTGAAATAAGTCACAAAAACACAAATACAGTATGATTCCACTTATATGAGGTACCTAAAGTAGTCAAACTCATAAAGACAGAAAGTAGAATGGTAGCTGCCAGGGTCTGGGGGAAAGGGAGAATGGGTAGTTGTTGCTTAATGAGTACAGAATATCAGTTTGGGAAGATAAAAAGGTTTTGGAGAGAGATAGTCGTGATTGTTGCACAATGTTGCACATTGTTGTGAGTGTACTTAATGCCACTGAACATACACTGAAAATGGTCAAAATGGTAAATTTTGGCTGGCGCAGTGGCTCCCGCCTGTATTTCCGAGGCGGGCAGATCACAAGGTCAAAAGATCGAGATCATCCTGGTCAACATGGTGAAACCCCATCTCTACTAAAAATACAAAAAAAATTAGCCGGGCGTGGTGTCAGGTGCCTGTAGTCCCAGCTACTCGGGAGGCTGAGGCAGGAGAACTGCGTGAACCCAGGAGGTGGAGCTTGCAGTGAGTCGAGATCACGCCACTGCACTCCAGCCAGGCAATAGAGAGAGACTCCGTCTCAAAATAAATAAATAAATAAATAAATAAATAAATAAATAAATAAATAAATAAATTTTAATTATTTGGATTTCACCACCGTTTTTAAAAAGATGGCATGTGCCTTATTTCTCCACTGTAAAGTTAATAAATATCTGTACTTATCAACAATTATTAAGTATTTTGTAGTAAGATAATTTGAAATTATATAATTTCAAATAATTCACACCAATAGTTCGAATACCAATCCAACACCACAAGATTTATTCTAGCATCCTCTGTTACCATATTTGTAATTTCTCCAACACTGAAAACCTAGCTCCTATTATCCTCAATATACTTTTTGGTAATCCCCATATGTAATCAATCTCCTAACTACACAGGCCATCTTCCTAAACCTGTCTCTGCCAAACCTGCCAGCTAAATTCTTGACCCTGGCCCCACTGATTGTGCCAGCCTAATTCTTGGCTCTGACAAAGAGGAAGAGGAAGGTGAAGTGAAGGCCCTCAATTTTGAAGAATATTTTCACTGGATATAGAATTCCAAGTAGACAAATTCTTTTCTTCTTTCATCACTTCATTTATTTATTCATTTATTGAGACTGAGTCTCACTCTGTTGCCCAGGCTGGAGTGCAGTGACATGATCTCAGCTCCCCTCGACCTCCACCTCCCAGGTTCAAGAGATTCTCATGCCTCAGCCTCCTGAGTAGCTGGTACAGGTGTCCACCATGACAACCAGCTGATTTTTGTATTTTTAGTAGAGGTGGCGTTTCACCATGTTGGCCAGGCTGGTCTCGAACTCGTGACCTCAGGTGGTCCACCCACCTTGGCCTCCCAAAGTGCTGGGATTACAGGTATGAGCCACTGCGCTCAGCCTCATCACTTTAAAGATGTCTTTTCATTCTAGTTTTCATTGTTGCCTATAAAAAATTAGCCATCATTTTTATTGTTATACCTTAAAATGTACTATGTATTTTTCCTTTGGATGCAGTTAAGATTTTCTCTTTATCTTTGGTTTATAGCACTTTGACTACAATGAGCCTAGGTGTGGTCTTCAAATAATTTATCTGCTTGGGGTTCTCTGAATTTCTTGGACATGTAGGTTGATATCTTTCATAAAATGTGGAAAAATTGAGGGCATTTTATCTTCAAATATTTTTTCTACCCCGTTCTCTCTCCATTATACCTGTTAGATTATTTTATATTATCTCATTGTTCGCTATAACTCTGTCCTGTTTTCCTCCTTTCATTTTCTCTCTGTGCTTTAATTTGGATAATTTCCATTAGCCTGTCTTTAAGTTTCCTCATCCCCTTTTCAGCTGTGTCCATCTGCTGAGAAGCCCATCCCCTGGATTCTTCACGTCAGATTACCATATTTTTCCGTTTTAGAATTTTCATTTAATTCTTTTTAGAGTTTCTCTTTTTCTTTTCTTTTCTTTTCTTTTTTCTGAGATGAAGTCTCACTCTGTTGCCCAGACTGGAGTGCAGTGGCACGATCTCAGCTCACTGCAACTTCTGCCTTATGGGTTCAAGTGATTCTCCTGCCTCAGCCTCCTGAGTAGTTGGGACTACAGGCTCACGCTGCCACGCCTGGCTAATTTGTTTTTTGTATTTGTAGTAGAGATGGGGTTCACCGTGTTGCCCAGGCTGATCACAAACTCCTGAGCTCAGGCTATCCCTCCCCTTGGCCTCCCAAAGTGCTGAGATTACAGACGTGAGCCACCACACCCAGTCGAGTTTCTCTTTTTCTATTGTAATTTCATCCATCTCTTTTGCCATTTCTTCAATCTTTTCCTTTACATATTGTAATTTATTGTCTCACGGCATCTGGTAGGTCAGAAATCTGCATGTGGTTTAGCTGTCTTAGCTAGATGACTCTGGGTCAAGCTCGCTCATAAGGTTACAGTCAAGCTGCCAGGCAGGGCTTTGGTCTCATATAAGGTTCAACAGGAGAAAGATCTTTTAAATTTTAAAACATTTATGAGTTTAAACTCCTTCTGCGTTAATTCCAAAATCTTGGTCATCTGTAAGTCTCTTCAGTTGACCACCTTTTCTCTTAATAATGGGTCAGTTTTTCCTCTGCTGCTTTACATGTTCAGCAATTTAAAAAATCTTATGCTGGGCATAGAAAAATTCCGGATTTTGTTATCTTCCACTGAAGAGTGCCAAATATTTTTCTGAAAGAAAGTTAGATTACTGGTAGATCACTTTGATTCTGTTGAGGTTTATTTTAGGCCTCTATGATGAGTCTATTTCCGGTTTTCCTTAGTTCTGGGATTTGGCTCTTACTCATATGGCATGGTCCTTACACTTAGGGCATGGTCTTTTTGGTGTCTCAACATGGTATCTCCACTCTTGAGTGGATCAGAACTCCAATGTCTTCATAGCTTTGTGCAGCTTCTGAAATCTAGGTTTGGTTTTCAGCTCCTTCAGCTGTATTTGCTGGTATAGCTTACAGAATCTTGCCAAGCACATATGCAGTTTACCATTTGGCCAAGAGCCCAAAGGAAACTCCTATGTGGATTCCTGGGGCTCCTTCTTTGTCACTCTTTTCTATCTACCTACCCTGTACTATAATTTCCAGTAACCTTTGCAGGCCCCAACTCCAATTTATTTATCTATTCCAATTCTCTGAAAGTGGTTTGGAAAATTGCCCCCCAAGGTTGAATGTAAAATTCTCATTTTGAGCTCCTTTTCTCTCAAGGATTATAGTCGTGCACTGTGCCTTATCCCATGCCCAAAAGAAATTGTTTTGTACATTTTGTTTAGTTTAATAGTTGTTTATGGCAGGAGGGAAGGTCTGATGTTAGTTACTTCATGATGTCCAGTACAAGAAGTCCACAAATACTTCTTATGTTTTTATAGACCAATCCTATTCTTATATAGTGGAAAATTAAAGGTAGGCAAACAAACCTACATCATATAATTTCCAGTTTAGTCCTCTACATGATAAGAAACACATGTGGTGCTTATTGTTGTGCTTCCTGTAAGTCTGGTAATTTTTTTTTTTTTTGGAGACAGAGTCTCACTCTGTCACCCAGGCTGGAGTGCAGTGGTAGGATCTTGGCTCACTGCAATCTTCGCCTCCCGGGTTCAAGTGATTCTTTTTTTTTTTTTTCTTTAAAAAAATAACTTTTATATGGCTTCTTCAAACAAGTTGAAAGGTGGCAAAGTATCTGCTACAGTAGTTTGGAGGACTAGAGGACTGATGGGTAAGTAAGGGTTGTTTTGTTGTTAGGTAAGTAGATATTAGGCAGTCCATTTCTAAAATATGCCTGATGAGGCTAGATACCTAAAGCTACCCTTAGCTCCAGAAATGAATATCTCCCATCTCCATCAAAATCAAATGCTCTCAAGCTCTCTGGTTCTGGCATAGCAGAACCTAGGGAGGTCCAGATTTCCTGGTAGGTCAGCTTCCCATCCATGTCCTAGCCAGTCTTGTGGAATAAATCCTGAAGATCTTCAGTGCTGGAAACTCCTAGTAGAGAGACAGGTCTTAGTTGGGCAGCTTTCTCAACTGGATCTCCAAGAAACTGTGAAAATTTTGGCAATGCTGATGGCTTTGATGTGAAACTCTGTACTTGCTCTTCATCGGCGGTCACTGGAGGCCTGTTGCTCTCAGGTTTGTTTGTACAAGCACTGATCATCTGGAGTTTCTCTCTTAGCTTGGATACCTGAGAATTTGAACTATCTTCTTTCTTTATGCTTTGGATTTTTACCGTATCTGTTTTGTTGGTGACTTGATCCAAAGACGCTCTTTTCAGAGAGGGAGATCTATCACCCATCTGTTTCAAATTCTCACTATGGGTTTTATTGTCAAGTTCTGATGTGGTTGAAGGTGATGGAATGATCTGGTTGCTTCCAGGAGTCTCCTTCAAGAAGTGCTGATTCATATCACTCTGCAGTAATCCCATCGTTTTCTTGTGTTCACCCACAGTTTTCTGTAGTGCTTCCACAGCAAGATGGACACTGTTTAAAGTATTGCCAATGGAAGCTACACTCTTCTGAAGTCCCTCTACAGTGGTAGGCAGGCTAATCAAGTCTGCAGCTGACTTAATATTGGCTTTGAGGTGGTTCACTGCAGAAGTCAACAGAGAAATCTGCTTATTCTTTTCTGTGATGTTTATCCAGACTTTGTTCAAACCCATCTCTCCAGATTCAATCTTCTCAAGTTGTTTTTGCTTGCTGAGTAGTTCTTCATTAAGTCTGGGGATTTCTTGGAATGAGCTTTCCTGATTAGACTCCACTGTTCGAAATTTTTCCTTGAGGGCTTCCAGATCCTCCTTGAGAGCAACCTGCATCCACACCGAGCCAACACAGGCCACAACACAACAAAACCACAGAGCGGATAACAGATCTTGCAGCATCGTAAATAGTCTCCCTTGGCAAAGTGAGAGCGATTTCCAACCACACCAAATTCCTCTTCCTCTTTGGAGCTGGACTCAGAGTCTGAGTCAGGAGGCTCAGGGCAAAGCAGACGGTGACTGCTTGGGCCTTTCTTGGGCTTCTTTCTCCGGCTGTCCCCAGCCAAACCAATCAATTCATTGAGCTCTTTGCACTTTTTCATCTTTTGGTGTGGGGTGAGTGGAGCCCTGACTCCTAAGCTGCCAGGTTCCTACCCAATGCCCAATTCTCTTCCTGCCTTGGAGCTGCCTTCCAGGGTTGGGGATCCTGGGCCAGAGCCTCCTGGTCACTCCCACCTAGGGGTGGGACTGACCAGATCTGCCAGGGACTGGAGATTGGAGCCCAGAGGAAACTGGAACTCAGATGGGTGGGGGAAATCACATAGAAATGGCCAAGAAGCTGGTGACCCCAAAGGATAAGGCCTTGGGTGCAGAGTGTTAGTAGAGGGTGGAAAGGGACTTTTATCTTCCAAAGGGCGAAAAAAAAGCCAACTCAAAAATGAAGGATTCTCAGCCCGGATAAGTAGGCAATACTTCTAAGGGTGCTCCAGGAGCTGAGGAAGGGCACACTTAAAATAGGTGTTTTGGACCTCCGGGGGAGGATTTCCAATGGGGAAGGAAGAGAAACTTGTTCCTGAATGGGAAGAGAGTGGGGAGGTGCAGAGCAAGAACGTGGGAACGCGTCAGTCCCTTCCTGCAGGACAGGTGGCGGCAGGAGGGGGCTCCCAGCAGCTACAATCCCAACACCGCTTGGCCGCAGAGAAAATGCCCGGCCCAGGAAGCCGGATGGGGTGTGTGATGATCACTGTTCTCTGGCCTCCGTCCTGAACATGAAGGAGGCCCGAGGCCGAGGAAGATCTGGAGCCTGGCTCGAAGGGTCGGCCTGAGAGAAGCCAGTCCCGCGCCTACTAGACCCCCGACCCGCTGTCTGGGCCTTGGGGACACAGCGGGCTCCAGACCCAGGCCATCGCTCCAGCCCCCCAAGTGATTCTTATGCCTTGACCTCCCGAGTAGCTGGGATTACAGGTGGGAGTCACCAGGCCCAGCAAATATTTTTTTGGATTGGGTCTTCTAATAGAGATGGAGTTTCACCATTTTGGCAAAGCTGGTCTTGAACTTCTGGCCTCAAGTGATCCACCCACCTTGGCCTCCCAAAGTGCTGGGATTATAGACATGAGCTACCGTGCCTGGCCAAGTTTAGTAATCTTAACATGCACTGAGGATACAGGAAGATGATCTACGAATTCTTGAAGATAAAGGTAAAACATTAAGAACCCATAGAAGTAGTACCTGGGTGCCATTCAATTATTGGAATATGAAGACAATTTAGTAATCCCATTCTCCTTTGACCACTGGCTCTAAGACTAGATCTACTGCAATCTGGAAGCTGCTAAGCCCTAATAATTCCTTATGTAGAAGAGGGAGAGTACATACTGAATTAGGGACATTTTACATTTTGTATGAAACTGTAGTTAGTCACAACATAGTTGTAGTTTGTACCTCTTCAATTTTCTGTCCAAGAAGTTGCCTTTCAACTGAGGCAGAGACAATGCTATGTGTTCCCCAAACTCCATTTCATTTTCCTTAGGTATACCAGATTTCTACATTTCCCAGCCTCTTGTGCAACTGCATTAGGGGAATGTCACTGAATCCTGGACAATAGGATGTGGAATAATATATGCTATTTCCAGGCCTGCCATAAAACGTTCCCTTCCCCCTTCCACCACTGTGCGATTGCCTCAATTTTCTTCCCCTTCCACAGTGACCCAAAGGTCATAGTTTTAGGATGGTGACCTTACAGATAGAAGGAGCCTAGAAATTTAAGTCACTGCTTGAAGGAGAGCCACGGAAGAGAGATGACTGACCCACTAAGACTATGATAGGAAACAAACACCTTGTGATTTTTTTTTTTTTTTTTTGAGACGGAGTCTTGCTCTGTCGGCCAGGCCGGAGTGCAACGGTGTGATCTTGGCTCACTGCAAACTCTGCCTCCCAGGTTCAAGTGATTCTCCTGCCTCAGCCTCCAAAGTAGCCAGGATTACAGGCACCTACCACCAAGCCGGGCTAATTTTTGTATTATTTAGTAGAGATGGGGTATGGCCACATTGGCCAGGCTGGTCTTGAACTCCTGACCTCAGGTGATTCACCTGCCTCAGCCTCTCAAAGTGTTGGCATTAGAGGTGTGAGCCACTGTGCCCGGCCTCCTTGTGATTTTAAATCACTTAGATTTCAGGATTAATTACAATAGTAGAGCTTGACCTATCCGGACGTAAGTACCAATCATAGCATGTAATAAGACTACGACTATTTTTTTTTTTTTTTTTTGAGACTGAATCTTGCTCTGTTGCTAAGCCAGAGTGCAGTGGCACGATCCCGGCTCACTGCAACCTCTGCCTCCTGGGTACAAGTGATTCTCCTGCCTCAGCCTCCTGAGTAGCTGGGACTACAGGCATGCACCACCAAGCCCAGCTAATTTTTGTATTTTTAGTAGAGACGGGGTTTCACCGTGTTGGCCAGGGTGATCTTGATCTCTTGACCTCGTGATGTGCCCGCCTTGGCCTCTCAGAGTGCTTGGATTACAGGTGTGAGCCACCACACCCAGCCAATAAGACTATTTTTTAAAAAGTAAAAAAGAAGCTACAAAGTATCCACATTGTTCATCACCCATGAACAACAATACCATGAGGATATGTGTAAGCATATTTGGATGGCAAAGTTCAGATGTGAAACCCATCCTGACACACATGCTTGCATGCACACATACACAACATACATTTAAGTTCCCATGCCATTAAAAGGGGTCTCAGACATCATTCAAAAAATAACTTCCATATTTAAAAGACTGACTTTCTCACTTCGTACTTTGAGAGTTCAAGTGGCTAATCAATTCTTATATGACCAACAATACAAAATTATACCTATAAGCATTGTCTTTTCAAATAACATTTTACTAGAGGATAAAAAAAAGTCTTCAAAGTCAATGTTTCCTTAATTATTAGAGAAATGCAAATTAAGACCACATGCCTGTAGTCCCAGCTACTCAGGAGGCTGCGATGATCCTGGGAGGATTGCTTGAGCCCAGGAGTTTGAGGCTGCAGACAGTTATGATCACGCCACCATACTCCAGCCTGGATGACAGAGGGAGACACTGTTTCCAAAAAAAAAAGTAAAAAATAAAGTAAAAAACAACAGATATTGGCAAGGATGTGGAGAAAAGGAATGAAGGGAATGCTTATACACTGTTGGTGGGAATGTAAATTAGTTCAACCTTTATGGAAAACAGTATGGAGATTTCTCAAAGAACTAAAAATAGAATTACTATTTGATCCAGCAATTCTACTACTCGGTATGTTCCCAAAGGGAAAAAAAAATTATATTAAAAAGATACTTGCACTCATATTTTATCACAGAACTATTCACAATAACAAAAATGTGGAATCAGCCTAAGTGTCCTCAACGAAGGATCGAGTAAAGAAAATGTGGTATCTATGTACCATGGAATACCATAAAAAGAATGAAAACATGTCTTTTGCAGGAATATGAATGGAACTGGAGGCCATTATCCTAAATGAATTAACTCAGAAACAGAAAGTAAAATACCACATGTTATCACTCATAAGTGGGCGCTAAACAAGGGGTACACATGGACATACAGAGTGAAATAATAGACACTGGAGACTCCGAAAGGTAGGAAGGTGGGAGCAGGGTGAGGGCTGAAAAATTGCCTATTGGGTACCATATCACTACTTGGGTGATGGGTATACTAAAAGCTTAGACTTCACCGCTATGAAATATATGCATGTAAGAAAGCTGCACTTGTACCCCCTAGATCTATAAAAATAAAAATTTAATTTAAAAACAAAGTCACTTTTTTTAGGCCACTTACTAGAGTCCAAAACCAAAGTAAAGCACCACATTTTAGAAAAACCAAATATTTCTAAAGAGATTATTCTATCTATCTGCCACAGAAGTATGAGATCTGCACTTACTACTTAATAGTCTATTGTATTTCTAGGAAATAAGCAATGTTATTATTAATGTCAAATGAGAAGCCTAATTTGCTTAATATGAGACTTGAACTTCAATTCTCCTCTCACACTAAATCTAAGTGCTGTAATTATTCAAATTTGAGTTGGTCTTTGATGGGATTAAAAGGGAATTGATGATGAAAGGCACTGTGCTTTTATGTTTTGTTTTGTTTTTTAGAGATGGGGTCTCACTCTGTTGTTCAGGCTGGTCTCAAAGTCCTAGGCTCAAGCAATCCTCCTGCCTTGGCCTCCCAAAGGGCTGGGATTACACGCATGAGCCACAGAACCCAGCCAGGCATTGTGCTTTAATGATATAAGCTGTAGCAGTGTAACAATGGACAAGTTACTAAACCCCAGTTATTTCATCTATAAAATAATAATTTTCACTGATGGTTCTGGTTGTTGTGAGGAATGCATAGAACAACTGGTACATAAAAACTGCTTAATAAATGCTAACAATCATCATAATCATCATCAATATAGTAAGGAAATTCAGATGTTATTAGTATTGACCATAACTTTGTCATTCACTTTGTATAAGAATGTGAAAAAGAGTGTAAACAATACATTTTATCATTTTGGGGCTTTCTTCCTACCCCCTTTAGTAAAATAGGAATATTATAAAGGCATACATGTTAAAGTATCTGAAAATTGTGTTAGGTGTTTTTAAAGTAGAAGCCAGGGAATACATTTCTGAATTAGATTTATCTATATTTCAAAAGAAATTTTCAATTAAATGTTAAAAAAATTAGAGCATGTCATCTTGGAAAAGACATTATAAAATTATGAGGAAAACAGTCTTAAGTAAGTACATATAGGTTTTTCCCCCCATACTTTTAAAAATTGTTGTTTTGGAACTAACTTGTCATTCCTTTGTGTTTGCGTACACACACACATTAGACAGAACACAGGGACTACACTAACACAAACACTGCCAATCAGAGCTCAAGGTAAATGTACTATAAATTATCTTTTCACTAGCTAATCTTAGATCTTTGGGTTCTTGGGAGTATGGTGGAATCACATTTATCAGAAGGTCTCAAGGGACACATAAAGCTTTCAAATACATGAGGATTTGGATAAGGAGGGAATCTGGCAAATAGGGCTTTGAACTTGGCAGTGCAGATTGCACCATCTACAGCACAAATTGA